GGTACCCATAGCAGTGCCGCTGACTTGAAGGTATATATTGTCTCCAAATGTAAAATAGTTGTGGGTGAGGACAAAGTCACAAAGTTCAGCCACCAGGTTTGACGTGACATTATCGGGGATACTGTTCCTGATAGCTTGTAGACCATCTTTGTGTAGAATGTTGGTGTAGAGGGCTTCTACGTCCATAGTGGCCAGGATGGTGTTTTCTGGGAGATCACCGATGGATTGCAGTTTCCTCAGGAAGTCAGTGGTGTCTCGAAGATAGCTGGGAGTTCTGGTAGCATAGAGCCTGAGGAGAGAGTCCACATAGCCAGACAATCCTGCTGTTAGGGTGCCAATGACTGAGATGATGGGGCGTCCAGGATTTCCAGGTTTATGGATCTTGGGTAGCAAATAGAATACACCTGGTCGGGGTTCTAGGCATGTGTCTGTAAACATCTTTTCCTGTGCTTTTTCAGGGAGTTTCTTGAGCAGATGGTGCAGTTTCTTTTGGTAATCATCAGTGGGATCAGAGGATAATGGCTTGTAGAATGTGGAGTTAGAGAGCTGCCTAGCAGCCTCTTGTTCATATTCCAACTTACTCATGATGACGACAGCACCTCCTTTGTCAGTCTTTTTGATTATGATGTCAGAGTTGTTTCCGAGGCTGTTGATGGCATTGTGTTCAGCACGGCTGAGGTTATGGGGTAAGTGATGTTGCTTTTCCACAATTTCAGGCCGTGCACATCGATGGAAGCAATCTATGTAGAAGTCCAGTCTGTTGTTTCAGCCTTCAGGAGGAGTCCATGCAGAATCCTTCTTTTTGTAGTGCTGCTAGGCAGGATTCAACATACTAACCCACAGAATCCTTCCTACCAGCACTACAAAAAGAAGGATTCTGCGTGGACTCCTCCTGAAGGCCGAAACAACAGACTGGTGCATTGAATGTGTGTATCTAACCTAATGCACTTTTGGAAGAGGGAAGGATCCGGGCACAGCTTCACTTCTGGGCAGACAATGCTTTAGCCTCAGATGCATGTGGAGTTCCAGTCTATGATTGGAACATGCAAAGCATGAGCGGCTCTGAGATCAGAATCACATGCCAGCTGTTTCTGCTCTAAGTATTTTGTGCTTCACTCATACACATGCATCACTGGGAACCCCAGGGTTTATTGTGAAGTCTCACAAACATTAGTCTTGAATTGAATGTTAAGATAAACTTCATCCTTGGAGCCTGGCACTCCTCTGCTTTGCCCCTGTGCTGTCATTTACACCTGTGCCAAGTGAGCGATGATGGTGGAAAGCTCTACCCAATCTGAAGAGCAGTGTTTGTTGCACACGTTGCACTGGTGTAAACCAGGACAGAGGATGAAAAGTTGGGGAGAATTAGGCCCCAGGGGACAGACTGTGAGTTGCGCACAACTGCTGTTGGGTACAGCAGAGGTGGGGCTACCAGGAAGGAGATAGCCACTCCATGTTGCACGGCCCCAGCACAAATGAGAGCAGTCTGGGAGCTGCTTTAATTTATGCCAGCTGTCTGTGCTGAGTGGCTGTTTGTTTAAAGCGGTAACATGCAAAACAATGGATCAATCTAACCATCGCTCTTTGTGTTTCATGATGCATATCACCTTTGATCTGATTTGGCTGTCTGATGCATGTAATGTGTCTGCTACCCATTGGTGATTAGCCATGTACACACTGTACTGCTGGGAGAATTAATGTTCCCATGGTGTCTTCTAGTGTTGATAATGGGGCTCAACTTAATTATCACAGATTTTTAAAGAACTCGTATTTATAGGACATCAACCCCTGAGAATGCGCATTGGAAGAGATGGGTGAGAACAGAAGAATTGGGCCAGATTACAGTATAATTAAAATTACAATGACAACACCTTAGAATCTTTCCATGGGCATTTGTTTTTCCAAACATAAAAATATTGTTCGGTTCTTCTGTTTGTTTAATTGTTTTGGGTTTTTTTGAAACTTTCACCTGACTACAGCGGGCTTTGAATCAGGCCCCTAACTCCCAATGCACAAAGTCAGTCACTGCTCTGAGAGTAACAATGCTGAGCATAGCTTTTAAGGGTGCCAGCTGAGATCTCTACGGCTGTCATGGTCTAGTGACAGTAGTAGGGTAATGATCACCATGTAAAATCAATACAAAGTGTTTAAAGGTTCTGGACAGAGGGTAGGAGTTGGCAGTGAGAAAAGGCAGAGATATGAAAGAAGGAAAATTAGAAGAGAAAGGAGAGGTCTCTCAAGCAGCAGACACAGCCGCCTCTGCACTCTCCTGGGACTAGAGGGGAGTTCCCTTTTGTGAGCTCAGTGCTGTCTGCAATGAAGAGACAATGAGGAAACTGAACCTGACAGTGGACACAGTCCTTGGAAATGAGCAGGGACAAAACCAGTCAGAGACTTGACATACTGGGAAGAGAAAGAGCCAATAATCACGCACTGATAGGAAGAGGTGCATTGAACATGTAGTTGCTACAGTGGTTCCCAGTGTGCTTATACAACATTGAAACTATGATGAACATTGATCATGTATGTTGCAAATCATGTTTAAAAATAGGTTTCTGTCTGCTCCAATTTTCTAGCAAAGTCTCCATGTAATGTCGCTGCAATGAATGGAAAAACATCATACTTCATAATAACATTAAGATCTTTATAGGGCAAGACTTCAGAGGATTAGAATTGGGATCCAGGTAAGAAGCAAGTGAGCAAATGCTTGTACTCTGCTTTGAAGCTGTGAAGTGCTGTATAAGGGCTAAAATTATTGTTATACTCGGGTGCACTCCAGTCATACTGCAGTCATGTAGCTGGCGTGTGCATGTGAATCTCTGTTACTGCACTGAGGGGTATTTTCTGCTCCAGTTCAGTTATTAGAAAAGATCATTTTAGCCGACACCTGCTCTAAGATGAATGGTCTTTTCCCTTGGAAGTTCATTCTCAAGTAATGCTTTTAAATTAGTGATTAAGGAACATCACTGAATCCGCATTTTTTGTCCAAAAAACCCACAACAACATTTCAAACATTTTTTTGTCCAGCTCTATGGACTGCAATAGGGCTGTAACCCAGCTCGCCCCCTGCACGGGGGTTTGTAGCCACAAGGCTCACGTTAATATGGGCCCCAGTTCCAACTTAACCTGGCCTCTTCTCCCTCCATTTAATCACCTGCTCAGCAGTTGCCCATCCCCATGTGGTGGAAATCCCATGTTGTGGGGCCTAGAACAGCCATAACAGCCTTGGCTCAATGTCACCCTAAAGGTACGTCAATACTTGCGGCATCATGTGGAGTACAGACACTGGATACCCAGGTAGTACAGGTATAAATAGCAGTGTAGACAGCAAATCACGGCTTGGGTGAGTGGAGTAGAATATCCTACATACCTGAACCACCAAAGTATGCCCCCTTCACAGTCTTTCTCCTGGCCCAAGCAGTGCCTCCGAAGTTTACACTGGTATTTTTAACAGTGCATGTCCCACTGCCTACCTGCTGCGACAGTCTTTCCCCGCAGCCTACCCAAGCCAGACCCTTTCTTCGCTGCAGTGAAAGGCCCCAGCAGTGGGGAGCTGGTGGAGCTTTCCCTGCTGCCGGAACCTTTTAACTGTGGCGCGTAGCTACAAATGTAGTGCCTGTGATCTAGATGCCACCATAAGTGTAGACACAGCCTATGGGAATGAAGTGCTAATAATCATGGTTCCGAAAATACTAACAGAGGATTGTTCATGTGTGCAGGGGATCTGGAAGACGTGTGCACAAAGGAAAAATACTGTTCATTTTACAAACAATTCAGTAGAAATTATTTTGGGAGGCCATCGGGTTCTAGTTAACCTGACTGTGTGATATTGGGATTAGCTGGTGTACCTCAATTATTTCCTGTACAGTGCCTGCCCCTGCTAATTCAGAAAACGATTTCAGAGGAATAAATCCAATAATCAGAAAGTCCAATGGGAGTCTTCCGCTATATGGATGATTCTCATTAGAAACTTTGCACATGCATTCGTTTAGAAACAACTGCAGCTGTTTCCTTCTGCTTCATGCCAAGAAGGCTGCAGCACTAATGAGGTTTTTGCATTGAGTTGTATCACTGTGAGCGGGGTTGTATAGTCCTGCTGACAGTAGTATTCACCTTCATCATCAGCCTGCACCCCACTAATGGTGAATGTGAAGTCAGTGCCGCTGTATCGACCACTGAATCGATCGGGGACCCCAGTGAAACGGTTGGTGGCATGATAAATGAGGAGCTTGGGAACCTCTCCTGGTCTGAATCGATATAGGTCCATTTCATTGCTAACGGAGCTGGATGCCTTGCACTGAATGGTGACCGTCTCTTCTGGAAGCACCGTCACAGAAGCAGGTGTCTGAGTGATAACAATCTGCCCACTGGATTCTAGGAAAAGAGAGAAATAAAAACCCTTTCCCTGAATCTCTTATCAAAACAAGTGGTGAGAAGTTCAATGAATGAAGAGATCCGTGTTACCTACCTTCAAACACAGAGAACAGCAGCCAGAGCAAATGCATTTGTAAAATCATGTTCCTTCTAGATCAGTTTCTTTGACACTAGTTGTTAAACTGCAGCACTGGTTTATAGCCACTGGGAAGAATTTTAGAATTTATTAACAGTCACGTATGGAAAAATATGTAAATCAGATACTGGGCTAAATTATATTCAATAGCTTCCTGTGTGCTTCGGGGCTTTATTATCAGGAGGAAACAGATGCACGTCGATCTGTCTCATTAAGCATGAGAAATGTTAACAGGAGACGTGTGTGCACGGTCCTAGTTAAATGGAAATAATCCAGGGGATTTAGTGACTCTAGCTCTTTAAAACTAGAACACTCTGAGAAATCTAGAGCTGTTTACTGGAATTTTCTAACATATATACCATAAGAATAGATTAATTGTTAGTGATTTCCTATGATTTGCTTGCTTTAGTTAGTAAAATAAAAATTACAGGTTCTGATGATTTATGTTCCCCAGGAGAATGAAATGATTGTGAAATGAGTAGAACTTGCCCAAGGTCCCACTGCAGATCTGCAGTAGAGCCAGGAAGAGAATTCAAGACTCCCAGCCCAGGACAGAGACTTCTACACACCTGTTGTTTGTGTACAAGTCATTTTACTCAGGCAGTTTGATATAGAGATAAATATATCTTTATGGTCAGTCGGACGTGGTCAGATAACATGGGGCTGGGTGCCAGGTGAGAACATGTATGTGGCTAGAGTCTGATTATTGGTTATTATTTTTACAACACTCCAATGTATGCTAGGAACTTTACAGAATAGATAGAAAGACCTGGGTCTGGACCAGGAGAGCGTACAGTTTAGCATGGGAAAGATCATGGGTCTTTGTACATGAGAAAGATATGTTTTACCTTCAAAGGACCTGATCCTGCAGTCCTGACTCAGGCAAATTCACATTGTTTTGAAGAAGTGTTTTGCCTCTGTCAAGAAGCTGGGATTTGCAATGATCAAAGGTGTTAAAAAGTTAGCAAACTCTGAATGGGCCTTTCTGTAGCCACCCACCCCACATATTTATCCCACCCTCATTTTATATCAAGAGTTGTATGATCACAAACTTTCCATTTGTAGTTTCACATTCTCTCTGCGTAGGGAAGTACTTCCTTTATGTTAGTGCCTGGGAGCACAGTCCCTTTGTGGTTGTATTCTGGACTCATGGCATCAAGTTTACTACTTGATGAAGACTTGATTCTATTCTATTCTATTCTGTATAGGTATTTATTCCAGGCTCATCCCTGTAGTACCTGAGCACTTTCCAGAAGTGCATTAAGCGAGGTGACGAACATCTAACACATGTTGTTTGAAGTCAATGCTAAAGTCCTCATAGAATTAAGTGGCACATAAATATACCTTTAAAAGTTCATTGTGAGATGATCTGGGTGTTGAGTGGTTAGCACAGTGTGAAACTTTTGTACATTTTATAATAAATCTTGATTTCTGTACTATGTCAAATAATCACTCAAACGGTACAGGATTGCTGATGTCAATGTCTGAAAGCATTCAATATATGGCAGGAGATGCTGCTTATCTAGCAAGACAGGGTTCTAAGGGTCTCATCCAAAGCCCACTGAAGTCATTGGAAAGACTCGCACTGATTCCAAAGAGTTTTGGATCAGGGCCTTAGGCTGGATTTTAAATGCTTTTCAGTTTGTGAGCATAAAGAAAGCGAGAGCCAGGACAATACAATATCCAAGCTTTGTTCCTACCTCTACATACACTGTCTCAGCAAGCACTTCCTGAAAGTAGCATTCTTTGAGTTCCTAGACATATTGGGTAATTTGTTCCACTGCTCCGGCTGGGTCCGATGTGATGGCGATATAGAGCTGGGGGCATCAGCATTCTGAATGTGCTGTGGCACGTGTCTCCTTAATTACCTCCATTGAAGTCAATGGCAAAACTCCCACTGACTTCAAAAGAGCCAGGGATTCACAAAGGGGACACTGACAGGGATTCTAGAGTCTGTGTTATCACAGTCTGCCCACAGGAGCCTAGCTAGAGAGAGTGAATGGAGAAATACAGAGAAAAAATGTGGGCATAAGCTATTAAACTCAATCTTAGATCTTAGAACCAGTTTTCATTTGAATGTCTGAGAAGCATTTTCCTTACCCTGAGCCCAGAGAAGCAGGAACCAGAGACAGCGAGTGAGAACTGTCATCTTGGAGGTCTTCACTGATAGATCCTAGAGAAGCGACTCTAACCTGGAAACAGAACTGTTTATAGCTGCCCAGCACAATAGAGGAATGTGAGGTGCTCTGTAAATATGCAAATAGATATGGATCCATATGATACCCAGTCTCTCTATTTCACAGCAATATCACCTTACATCTTATTTGGGTTTGTTATTCCTCTAGCATCCCTCACAGGTCAGACTGCTGGAAGGATTGGTGTTCACACAGTGCCCACTAGTGGTAATAATGGGGCACATGATAATTTTCACAGCTGTTTAGCAACCTCATATTTGAAAAGCAGTGACCAAACACATGTTGGGAGGGGAAAAAATGAAAGGGAAGTATGGTTTTAAAAATTGGCCCAGGTCATGATAATGTAACCCCCCCTTCCTGAAGTGACCAGATTGGGCGTTACATGCCTTTTCTTTTCCACAACTGCACAGAACTAGTTGTTTTTGCTTGGATCAGTTTTAATCAGATCTGCCTCCCTCACCTTAGCTGATAGGAATCAATAAATGAAACTCACTATGTACTGACTGTATATGGACTAAGGCAGCAAGGTGAGGGTTTTTTTAAATCTGACTGCTAATTCACTGGGTATTAAACACATTAATCTGTGGTGACCTGTAATTATTCGGACCGTTGAGTAGTACCAGTTATTGATTCGTTTATTGGGAGTCCTGCACCTATAATGATAGATCAAGGGGAGAGACATGGGTAATATTTCCAAAAGCGCCTCAGGGTACCTCTACACTGCAATGAAAAACCAACAGCAACGAGTCTCAGAGCCCGGGTCAGCTGACTCAAGCTTGCAGGGTTTGGGCTGTGGCGTTAAAATTGCAGTGTAGACCTTTGGGCCTGGGTTGTAGCCCAGGCTCTCAGACCTAACCCCTTTGCAGGGTTTCAGAGTTGGGCTCCACCCTGAGCCTGAAAAGCTACACTGCACTTTTGAGTCTCGCAGCCAGAGTCCCATGAGCCCAAGTCAGTTGACCCAGGCCAGCCAGGGCTGTTTTGCAGATATTTTTATTGCAGTGTAGACATATCCTAAGGTTTGGGAGCTGATTTTGGATGGGACTTTGCCTTCTAAGATCCAGTTCTTCAAAGATATTTAGGTGCCTAACTCCCTTAGTCACTTCTGGAAAAGTTCCCTGTGAGCTCCGGGCAGGGATAATGAGGTTGGGTTTGCAGACTTAAACTTGGAAAGTCAGTTTTGCTGAGATTCATGAAGCTCCTGAGAGAATGTCGCTGTACAGCCAGCTACCTTGTTTCTTTCTATCTGGGGCTTCTGAGCCCTTGAAATCTGGCCTGAACTCTCTGGCAAATCAGGCCTCACATCTGCTTGTCCCCAAGGGCACAGAATCAGCGACGCAGCCAGAAGCAGCAGTGCTCAGTGACAGAGACGTTGTTTTAAAGATGCCAGCTGGGGTTTCCACGGGAAACATGGCTCAGGGACAGCGACAGCATAAGAATCCACTTGTAAAGTCTAGTGAAGGAGTGAAGGTGGGTAAGGAAAGGAAAGGAAGGACGGGTGGGGAGGGAGGGTCTGAGAGAGGAAAAGAGAGGAGAGATTGCAGGTGTCTTTCTGGCACCACCCACAGTCTGGGCCCCACCTGAGTCATGCTCCTGGGACTAGAGGGGAATGCCTATTTGAGGATCAGTGAGGAAGCTGATGGATCAGCCTTGTGAATGAATATGGAGAAAACCTGTCTGAGGCTGGGCTCATGAGAGAGAGAAGCAGCAAGGCAGGGAAATATGAAGCAGTGCAGTGCAGCTTTCCAATATATACACTGGGAGAGATTGCAATGGACAGTAACGACAATGCTCCATAGGAGATAAGAAGTATTAAAAATGTGTGTAGAGAATTGATCGTTTATATTGCAAATCAATTTTAAAAATCAGGTTCTGCGGGTTTGTTTCTTAGCAAGGGCACTCACGTGACGTTGCTGTATGAATGCAAAGAATAAAATAATTCAGAATAACATTAAGAGCGTTAAAGGGCATCACTTCAGGGGGTTTGAATTGGGATCGAGTTGCAGTATTAGATGCAATTGTTTCTACTGTGCTTTGAAGCTCAAAAGTGCTAGATAAGGCCCAAGGATTATTAAAGGGCAATAAGGGAAGGGAGATGATATGGATAGTAGGTGTATGTGAAACTTTGCTAATGCACTGGATGGTCTCTCCTGCTGCCGTTCATTTACTAGAGTAGAGAATGGTAGCTGACACCTGCTCTAAGATGCATGTTCATTTCCTTTAGAAATTTATCTCAAGTTAGTGTTTCATTATACATTGAATAAGAAACATCCCCATCTGGTCTCATATGCACCAAGAGGGCTCTGGGGCTTAAGAGGTTTTTGTATTGGACCGTATCACTGTGTGAAATCATAGCCATAGTCATGTCCACAAAAATATTCTCCTGCATCTTCAGCATGAAAATGACTGATGGCGAACGTGAAGTCAGTTCCTCTTCCACTACCACGAAACCGATCTGGGACCCCTGGGAAGCGGTTGGTTGCATGATACATGATGGGCTTGGGAGCTTCTCCTGATCTGAATAGATATACATTCATTTCATCATCAACGTTACTGTCAGCCTTGCATTGAAAACTGACTGGCTCTCCTGGAAATGCGGAGACCAGGGGTGTCTGAATTATCGCAATGAGTCCTTCTGAGCCTAGACATGGGAGAAATTAGAAGCTTTTAGTGACTATCATTTTGAAACAGCAGAGTTAAAATAATCTTTTAAAATTTACCACTTACCTTCACCCAAGAGGCAAAGGAGCCAGACCAGATACATGTGTAAAACCATGCTGTGTCTCTGTTGTGTCTTCAGTGATGGGTCAAATGAATCCAAGGCTGCTAACCACTCAGCATGATTTAAGAAATAC